TCGGTCTGCGCGCCACGTAGGCTTGGTAGTTTTTAGGGTTAACAATACCGAAAACCAAAAGCCCATTCACTGGTAAGTCGAATGGTCGTAGCCCCGAGTAGCCCTTGGATACACTCGTCCTTGGGATAAGTCTCACCTATATGCGAATTAACTATAAAAACGTTATTTTAAAGCACATAGGTAAAATTAGCTAATAACTTCTCATACATAGCTCAAAATGGGTATATGAATATACCACAGTAACCTACACAATCTCAGGATCATCCCTAAATTTTTAGAATAATTTTTGGAAGCTTCATGCGCCCCTACGCGCCAGCAATGGCACGGCCAGACGCGCCCCCCACGCGCGGCCATGTGCCAGGCACATTGACGGCGTCAATTAACGCCGTCAGGAATATTCCGAGAATATTTCGTCAATTCCTTAACCCTCCTTAACGCCGTCACCTAACTCCGTCAGTATATTACGTCGGTTTTGACGAAATATGCCACTGTCTTCTCCGCTGAGTCGCCGGTCGCCGATGACTTTGCCAGTTTTCTGGAAAAACTTCCAAACCTTATAACTTTCTCATTTCTTCACCATTTTTCATAAAATTGGTACCAAAATGAAGCTAATAACATGTAGAATCACGTTATACTATTTTAAGCCTTGAAATCCACTAGAATTTACCTGAGGAAGCTCGATAATCCGGTTTACTCTGAAAAACTTTGATCTCGGCCCTCCGACGTCCAAACTCTTCCAACGAACTACCCCGAGCTTCCTTAAGACCTCCTAAAGCTCCCTGTGAGCTTGCAATCCTCTGAAACACAAGGTTTTACGTCCACATGAATAGTGCATGAAAAATGAGTTTCGGGTTCTCAAGATTTCGAATGAATCCTTACCTGAAATGGGTACCAACCAACTCGAAATGGCATGAGGAATGCAATGGTGCCTTTAGAATCTTCGATCTGTGACTAGGAAGCTCACCTCGAGCTTGGTCCGTACGAGGAAGAAGAGAGAGAGAGTGAGTCTGAGAGAGATGAGAGGGTACGGGAGAGAAAAGAGAGAAGGTAGGTGGGTGTGTGTGTGGTTTGGGATTGGTCAACAACCAAAATGCACAATAACTTAATCCTAATTGGTTCCAAACAATTAGGATTTAAGAATAGTGACCCAAAAACAACACTTAAACCACATCACACAATCTAACGTCCATGGGCATTTTCGTCAATTCACGTCAACAAGAATTATCTCCCGGGACGGGTTGTGAAATTCTAGACCACTGAAACCGAACCGAACCAAAAGAATTTGGTTCGGTTTGGTTTTTTCGGTTTCGGTTTGGTTTGGTTTTCGGTTTTTTTTCGATTTTCGATTTTTTGAACCCACCCCTACTATTGAGTAGTCTGAACTATTTCAAAATATTAATCTTTCACTGCTGCTAAGTATAAGTTTTATACCCTATAAAAAACAATATTATATATAAGAGCATGTCATTTTCGGGTTGAAACATGCCAGCATAAGGATTCGGCCCAATTCATCTTACCCGGCTCTCTAAAATGCATTCTCATTTGTAGCCCAATTTTTTCTCCGTACCAACGTATTACTTGCAACATGAGCCCTTCAAACTAGATTTGAGTAATAAGGGTGAAAAAAGAGTTTTTTTTTCTTTATTTTATTATATATTATTCTAAACGGGGTTAGTTCATAGACTAGGCTGATGCATTAGGGGGCAAGAGGTTCAGCTGCCCATTTGAATTTCAGTAAATTTCCATGAATAGTTTGGGTGATGCCTTTTTGAAGGTTAGATTTTCCCTTTATACATGCCCTCCAATTGCTTGATAAAATGCCTCAAAAAGAAGTTGCCTTCTTATTTATTTATTACCTACAAAAGGAGTGTTGTCGGCCTAGAGGAGTTGCCTATAATAAAGCATTTTCCACAAAGACTTTTTCTGGAGTTCCTCGACGCTTTAATTCTGAATGGTATGATGAGTTTTCTACTTATGAACTCTTGACACTTCAATATCAACTTGGGCATTATATTTTTTATATGCGTTCGAGTTATGAATTTTCTCAATTGAAAAGAATTGGTAATCTTGCAAAAAAAAAAAAAAAAAAAAATGGTGGAGATGGGAGGAAGGGAGTATATAATCATGTTTAATTGCTAATCACATTGAATGTTACCAATTGCTACTGCTTTGGTGGAGAAAGCCTTCTCCACTATGAATATTGTAGAAAGTCCATTGTGTAACTGAATAGTGACCAATGGTTGAGTTATGACGGTTTGTGTTGAGAACAATGTTTTTTCTTCCATTAATAATGAAGCTATAATGCAGGGTTTTCAAAATATAAAAACCGTTGTGGATAATTGTAACATGTATTGTTATTTGTTCAATAAATTATGAATGATGAAACTATGGTTAATTTTTAAGGTTATTATATGTCTAAGAAATGTTTGTGAACTTTTATATGTGACCTTCTAAATAATTTTTTCTAAATCTGCCATTGTTCACGCATAAGGTTAAAATATCATTCTCGTTCTGCCTACAATCCAATCCCCATCCATGTTTTTTATTCTTCATACTCGACTCATTAAGGGAAAAAACCTACGAAGATCCAAATCCATTGAGAAAATAGCCATCCCTATATTTAGTTGCCTTTGATTGGTCATTGCTATTTAACCAACTACGCTTGTCCCTGCAAACGAGAGGAACTTACACACAACAGTAAATGTGTTTAACTTTACTTTACGTTTTGTCCTATAATGTATTTTCATGTATAAGTTTTTCTCTACATGACAATGTACTGTTGTGCCGAGACACCACGATAACTGTAAACGTGTCTCATATAAGTTGTTCTCATAACAAATATGAAAATAAAGTTAAATTATTTTGTATTCTATTTAATGCTGTGTTAAAAGGGTTAAGATTCGAAAACACATTTGAACATACATTTTTATGAGACTCACTCAATAATGTATATTAAAAATTCGAACTTTTTTAGATTTGGATAATCACCATCTTTAATTAACTATTTAGAAAGAAAATAAAATAAAAATTAGGTAGTGCTATGCACACATCCATTTTTACTTCTCACACAAATTCTCTCAATTTTCAACTGTCAGATTGAATAAATTAAAGAAGAAAAATAAAACAATTAACAAACATGTATGGGATGTAAATTCGATGTGTGAATAGCGAGGTACAAATTTAACTTAGAACAGAGCTTGGCTACTGAAAAATCAGCAGCAGCTCCTGCTGCTAGCGAATCACGGGTGGACACATGTCCAAGTTGTGATTAAAATCAATTCCTTGGACACATGTCCATCCGTGATTCGCTAGCAGCAGGAGCTGCTGTTGATTTTTTCAGCAGCCAAGCTTTCTCCCTTAAGGCCATCTCTAACCAAATGGTCCAGAGGGCAAATGACTCGTGGGCCCCACAGAATCTGAAAAGGCCAAAGGGCTGGCCTCATGCAGCCAGCCAGCCTGGGCTGGCCAGAAAATTAAAGCAATCCTGTCGGATATAACCGACATGAGTATATTTAATATAAATATATCCGACCTTTTTATATTCTTGTCAGTTATATCCGACATGATTGCTTAAAGAAAAATTTGAATCCAACGGCTAGTTGAGGCCAGTTACCGTTGGATTCAATTTTATTTTATTTTATGGTTTTTTGGGCCAATTTTTTTTTCCTATAAATACCTAAACCATTCATTCAACATTCCTCACAAAATTTTCACTATTCCTACACCATTTCAATTCTCATATTTTCTTTCCTCTTTCAAAAATCTATCCTTCAATTTTTTCAATAATTTTCAAATGGCCTCGTCTGCAATGAAAGGTAGGGCTTGGAGCTGAAAAGAAAATGAAGCTCTTTGCAAGGCTTATAGATGGGTGTCGAAAGATAAGTGTTTTCATAATTTATTTTAAATATTTAATTATATTACATTTAATTTCATAAATTAATTTCCCTTAATTTTTGTAATTATATTTTCTAGATACGCCAAGCGGAAGAATTGTATATGGAGAGTAGCTCGAAACCCTTTTAGTTTCACATTTGTTGGGAAATTTGTAAAGGGTGGGTGTTATTTGAAGATCCACCTCAACATAGAGCTCCTACGCTGGTGTTCAGAACTGCATCCTCAGCTGCAGATATGGATGAAGATGGATCTCCTACCATTCAACAAATAAGGGTAGAAAATCTGTTTTCAAGTGAAGGCTCCATACTTAGGGCTATGGGACAAAACAAGGCACGGAGGTTGAAGGAAAAGGGCAAGGCAAATGATGATTACGCCGCTCAACATGAAGTGGCGGTCTCATTGCGATTAATGACAGAGCAAAATGCCCTTGAGGCGGAAGAAATGACGTGTAGGCATGAAGAACGGGCCAAACAAATACAAGAAGATATGAATGATAAGAATATGGAAATGAACACTTCGAATTACACTCTAATGAGTAAGGCCTATTTTGATAGGAAAAAAGAAAGAAATTATGACTCGACGACAGTTGTTTACCTCTAACTATACTTCTACAATGACGGATGATGAAGATGATGTTGATTATGGATATTAAATTTAAGTTGTTGTAGTTTTTTAATTTAAGTTAATGTTGTTTTTAAATTTAATTTGTAGTTTTAAATTTAGTTTGTCGTTTTTAAATTTAAGTTGTACTTTTTAAATATAAGTTATAGATTTTAAATAATAAATTATGTTTGGCTCTATAGCCCTTTGACCTTTGGTTGGAGACTGTTTTTTGTGACAGGGCTAAAACGAGCCATATGGTCTTTGGCCCTCGATTAGAGACGGAGACAAATATGGTCATGTACTGTTTATTAAAATATTAATATCTTGAATGATCAGAAGGCTAAAACGAGCTCTCTGACCCGCATTCAGTTGGAAATGGCATAACTTATTGGGTCGACAAAAAAAAAAGGATTATGAAGTCAGAAATATGTGGAAAAAAAAAAGAAAGAAAGTCGGAAATTTGTAATTTTGACGTCTCTCGAGTCAGAATCTGAATCCAATTCCAGCTGGGCACGCAACCACGCGGTTTCATTTTTCATTTTATTTTTGCATCGATCTCGTCGTCTTCGAGCTCTATCCCTCCCTGACTCAGATCATCGGGGCTTCCATGGACGAGGTACTCACTGCTGCTGATGCCTCATCAAATGGATCTGCATCATCACAGCCGTCCATTCTTCCCTACAATCTCCCCCTCCTCTCTGCCTTCCTGTCCTGCGCTCTCGCTCAGTTTCTCAAGCTCTTCACTACCTGGTAACATCCTCTCTCTCTGCATTTGAACATGTACTTTTATGCTAGTGATTTGTTATTTTGCATTTTCTGGTAATTTGCTTGATGGGTAAAATGGGTTCCTTTTGATTTTGTGAAATTATGTGACAGTTTGAGTTAATTGGATGATTAAGTTAATCTAAACGCACCATTCTGTTAAAAAGTAGACGAATTTTTGTTCGGTTTTGTTAATTCTATCTTGATCTTTTGTTTTTCCATTTTGGGTATGCTTAACAAAGTAGTTTGCTCAGGTTTTAAAATATTTCGTCGTAGACGTGCAGGTACAAAGAGAGAAGATGGGATTCCAGAAGAATGCTTGGGTCAGGAGGAATGCCCTCATCGCATTCCTCAACTGTGACGGCGTTGGTAGTTGCTATTGGTTTACAGGAAGGAACCGGAGGGTCTGCATTTGCCATTGCCGTAGTTTTGGCATGTGTTGTATGTAACTCTTAACCAGGTTTTGTTCATTCTTTTTGGGTAGGCTCGCATGCTCACGTTTAATATCTTTTGGATTGTCATGTGAAATGCTCTGCATAACGCCAAAGTCCCATTTTGTTTGTTTTTTGAACTTGTTGCATTCTCTCTAGATTTAATACCCTGAATTCTTATTAATGTCATATTTGAAACTGCAATTGATTTGTTGTGCTTCACACACTCATTACTCCTACTTCTGCAAGAGGATTATCTCTTTTTTGCTTGTGTGTCATCAACTTTCCGTTTGTGATTGGATTGTCTTCACTTATATGGAATCATTTATCTTGGTTCTGTACAACTTAGTCGACTAATCTTGGACCAACAATCTTCTTTGATTGAAGAGAACATAACAAAAGATAAGTGCCAGAATGTTGATCTTTGACACATTTGTGAACCGTCAAGTGAATAATATAGATTTAAGATCTAATGAAGCCTTTTACTGGTACTATGAACTTGTTGTTTCTTATTGGTTTTACTCTGTCTATTTTGATATTTAAACGCACCCAGTTGTCTTTTTGTTTCCTGGGAAAATGTAAGTCTTCTACTTCATAACGTGAGGTTTGACTAGTTATAGCTGTAGAGTCCTAGAAGCCCTTGATACAAAAGTTACTATAGGTGGTAATTGACCTTAAACAAAGATGAAACTTGAGATTCACAATCAAAACTGATAATAATTTAAAGAGATGATACCTCTATTCCCAGTTCTCAACCTTTTTTGTGACTTTACTTGCCATGCACAATTTCTCGTGGAATTAGGTTTCATGCATCTAAAATTACTGTTTCTTGCAGGTCATGTATGATGCCACTGGTGTAAGACTTCATGCTGGTCGTCAAGCTGAAGTAAGATTTTTTTGAACCCCACATGCTTTGTTGATATTACACATACAATTACACTAACTAAAGTATGGGGGTAGTTTGGTGAAGTTTGTTAAGAAAGCTTGGGGTAATGGGATGCATACTGATTGAATATGCCCCCATTTTAGCCAATTTGCTTCGAGTTTCTTCTATTTTATTTTCTGTGGATGCTATGTGATAATTGTTCTCTTTACATCAGTTATTAGTATGCATTGTTTTATTTATCCTTGTAGCATATATTACGTAGACACACATGTTCACAGTTAACTCTTATATTAAAGAGAGAAAAAAGCCATATAACAATGGATCCATGATGTGTTCATTCATTATCGACGTTTCATGTTAACTTCACCTAAAATTCTGGATAAGGCCTGGTTTATATTTGAAGTTACGAACCTTCATCTTCGATTCAAAACCTTAGTTGTTTTTTGTAAATATATAAAGACTAGTGATTTGATTTTGGTGGTTGTTTAGTGTGTACTTGTTCACGTGACTTGTGTAAGTGTTACTGTATATTTGGTTTGTTCCATGCTTTTGTTTTTATTGTATTTTTCTTTTCTAATTCCATACAATATGTTGCTTATTGCAGTTATTAAATCAAATAGTGTGTGAGCTACCTCCAGAACACCCTGTTTCTAGTGTTAGACCTCTGCGGGATTCACTTGGTCATACTCCATTGCAGGTCTGCTACATTTGCGTCTTCATGTTCATTTAGCATGAGCCTTTGTTTATTTATGCGCTTGATCGTCAGTGATGAAATACGTATGATCATAATCTGTATCTCAGTTTTGTTGGATTCATATTGCTGCAGGTTCTCGCAGGTGCAGTGTTGGGATGTATAGTAGCGTATCTTATGAAAAGTTCCAGCTAGCAGATAATTAGTACAACACAGGCTTTAGCGGTGATTTGCATTTCCACAAAAGATTTCTCAACATTTTTTCCCCCGCCGATAGTGAAAGGATTTAGCAAAAAGAATGCCAAGTTTGTACCCAGGAATTCAACTGTAAAATCGCTAGAAAGTGCGTTTTAATTTCCTTCAACAATTGGCTGTATGATAATATGATTGTTTACCCAATTATATAAAGATGATTTTCAGCTTGGATACTTACAGTGCCGTGCGCAATGGCGTTCTAGAATTCATATAGCCGACCCCACTTAGTGGGAAAAGGCTTTGTTGTTGTTATATACTTACAGTGCTGTGCATTTTCACTCATCCACGGTTCATCTGATAGGCAAAAAGTCCCGTACAACCCAGCCAAATAACCGGCTGAACAGAACCGTGCCCGGGACATCTGGTCGGGTTCACTAGTCCGGCATACAAGGCCGCATACAAGCTTGCCGAGGCAGTTACTTAAAAGAGTATTCCCAGATAATATTAACACATGAAACCAGTGAATCTCAATTAAAAGTCGCAAGTGGTCACAAAAGAGGAATATCCAGTTTCTTCATTTCTGAGTTTTTGATGCATCACCAGGATCAAACAACTTTGCTTGCTTAACTACTGTACATTCGTCTCCTGAATGTTCAGCAAAAGTTCATCGGCGTTCAAGTAAATCTTGTTTTTGGAATCTGAGATAACTCGTGCGATTTCTCTTGCAGCCTCGATCTTCCTTAGAGTGATAAACGCTGGATTGTTGGCGATGACTTGACTGATCAGCTTTGCACTCGTGGCTTCGCCCTGGAAAGGATGGGCAACTGAACAACGTTGCCGCCGCAGTACCACCATGCTATCTTTGATTATGAAATACATTACGGATAAGTAGACATTGCAAAAACATACACTAATTTGAGGAATTAGCATTCCTCCATCTCACCTCTGCTTTGATGACAGCACTTTTCTTGTCTTGTTCGGCTTTCTCCACAACGAATTTTACCCTCTCAGCCTCTTGTGCAGCTACCTGTTTCGCTTCAATTGCATTCAGAAACTCCTTTCCGAAAGTCAGGTTAGTGATAGACACATCATCCAGTGCAATGTTAAAATTCGCTGCCTTCTCTGTCAAAATTTTCCGCATCTCCCTTCTCTGTCAAAGTTTTCTTTTGGCCATTTGAATTGCGCCAGAAATAATGGATCGCCAGAGATGCACAATAATCCAAGAAACACTTCCCACTAGCCACTGAACATAACCGAACAGTCCTAATTATGGCCAAAAGAAAATGATAAACCTTCTGCTTACCTCTTTCTGAGTAATAAGTTGGCTGGCATTATACTGTGCAACTACAGCTTTCAAAGTTTTATGGATAATTGAAGCAAGACCCTCTCAACATAATTCTCACCCAGAGTTCGATAAACTGTAGGTAATTCGTCTGATACGGGACGGGTCAGCACTCGAAGCTCTACTAACACCTGAAAAGAAAAACCAAGTTTCAACTCAATACGACAGCAGACTACAATTCTTACACATAAACAACCAGGAGTGACAGGGAAAATGGGTGCCAAACATAATGGGTGGGAGGAGTTAACGATACAAGATTTCATAAGAATTCTGAAACTTTTGGGAACTGGTGGGTAGAATAATAAACACCAAATAATGCAGAGAACTTAGGATAAGTCCATGACAAGTGCTCATGGGTTTTGACAAAGGATGAGTTGATGAAACATCACTGTAGGCATTAGCCACCACGATAACTTCATCACAAGATTTAAGGGGGTTTATGAAGTGTTCTATAGATGTAATGAAAGTTGATGCAAGTGTTTTAACCTTTGACGTACGTTATTCGTGGGGATTGCTTTTGTACCTTACCATATCCTATCCGAAAGATAAATCATAATTTAACTTTCATATGGAAAATAACTGATCATATTCATAGAGATCAATGTTTTAAAAGGCGAAGGCGTGAGCGGGCCGCTTCATGGATAGCCCCACCTAGGCAAAAGCCTTGAGACGTGGGTGAAGCCTCACGAAACCTAAATTTTATAACATATATTAGCATTTGCCTACACATTTTGTGTGTATGAACACATTTTTTTAGAAAATGAGAAGGAGACAGGGAGAGAGAGAGAACGTGGGGGGAGTGGGAGGTTTTTGTTTTTGGTCTTTTTTATTTTATTTTTTATATTAGAGGTATTTTAACATCACTTGTAGGTGAGGTTTCAATAAAAAACAGTAAAATTTGAACTTTGAAATTACATTATTGCCCATCATTTTTTTTTTGTGTGATAGAAGACTAATTTGTCTTTTCACCCTCTTTTGGTTGACGAAGAGGGTTTCATTAATTAGTAGAGATTATATAATATATAAATATATAATACTTTGCTAAAGCTCTTAACTAAAAAATGAACATAAAGGAAGATGGTGGGGTAATAATCATCAGCAAAGTGGGGGGTAATAAATGTTAGGAGGTGAGGTAATAAAAAGTATAGAAAAACAAAAAGTGAAGAGAAAGGAAAATAGTGGGATCAACAAATAGGGGTAATAAATGTCGGCAAAGTAGGTAATAAAAAATTTAGAAAAATGAAAAGTCAGAAATAAAAAACCCTAGCTATCCTCATCATCTTTGTTGAGCAGACTTTGCAACTTAAAGAATTCTAGATTTCTGCAACTTAAGAATGAAAAAGGGACGCCTCAGCCGCCTAGGCGCGCCTCACGAAGCCTAGGCGAGTATTTCACCGACTCCCACAAAACAGAGGCAAAAATATTGAAGCCCTGCCTCTAAACCGCCTAGGTGCACTCCGAGTCTAGTTTTTTAAAACATTGATAGAGATACAGGATGTCCTTCTTTAAGACTTTAAAGCCATGCTCTTCAAAGTTCACTACAAACTTCAACAAGGCAATGAGAAAATTGTTTAGGAAAAATTTGAATAACCGCGAACACATTCTTTATTACATTAAGTGGCCAATTCGTATCTATTTTAAGGCTTTTTTTTGTTTTTTAAGAATTTTCCTGGAACAGGATTAGGAAATATACATACCATCTGGAGGTCACGGCTTCCAGCTTTACTCTCCACTACATAAGGTTTTGCACGAACATCATAGACTGGCCTTTCATACCATGGGATTATTAGGTGTTGTAAACTGAAATAAAAAATGAACGAAGTTACCCGAAAAATGTAGAAGCCTAGAGTGGTGAATGATTCTTGGGATGAGTTGCGGACTAAGTCGCTCTCTTTAAGACGTTTCGCGGCTTTACCCAAAGTGTGCAAGCAGTTCACAAACACCACGTCGTCCCCAGGAAAAAACAGCCCAGAACCTTCTTCTTCTGATAAAGTTCTTCCTTGCACAATGGAAGAACCTTCGAACTCACACCCTCTCAATATGTTGTTTTCCAAAACTATATATATCAGAAAATATATGTATATATATTTTTTTCTCTGTTTCATTGTACCCAAGGACTGCTATATATACTAGAGAGAAAAAGACGTTGAGAATTTGAGAGATTAATGAGGGCTTGAAAGTAGGACAAAACGGAAAAACCACAACATAAAGTAATCGCATAGAAAAAGGGCAAAACGGTTTGAATATATATAAAGTTCTGATGCTTTTCTATGTATATGGGCTGTTTTACATATTATATATATATTAGTCAAAACGTTTGAATATTTATTAGCATAAATATTTAGTCAAAACGTAAAGCAAAATCAAAGTGAAAAGGACGAAACAGTTTGAATCTGCTTAATAACATGATCATCTTCTCTATATAGAAAAGGAATCCCACGTTTTATATTTAAGAGGAGATAACTCCTTATCTAATTGATAAGGCCAAAATAAATTAGCTGTTATGTATATAATATTGGTAATTAAGCAAAACATAAATATATTTAAATATTTAAATAAAAACATATTTGTTCCAACATTAGGTGTGTCCCTTCAGGATAAACCTGCAATTTTAAGATGTAATTATATTGTGTTGACATAGTAGATATAGAAAAAAGACATGCTATAGATATAGTTATGGATATACAAGTATAGAACAAAACTGTTCAATTCGTAGTAATGTGATAGTCCACTTTTGTTTCCACGTTGTGCAAAGTGTGTGCTGAATTCGACATAGATCGGCTCCATGTGGGCTATATAAGCGATTACAGCAAACCTCAACCGTCCTCTTAAAGTCATTCTTAGGTCGTGGACAATGTGTTCAACAAGTTTTTAAGACGACTGAACGTTACGCAATTCCCAAGAATTGGAGAAAAGTACTAACCTTGTCATTGATCACAACAAGACGATTGAACACAATGGACCTATGCCTTCCATGACATTGTAGAGACTATTGTTAAGTCCATATAAACCAAGACCACCAACAACTCCCACCGTAAGCAAAGTAGCAATGCCACGAGCTCCAGGCAGTTTGGGAACTTTCATCTTGTTCAGATTCGTGTTTGTGAATGCTGAGTGTGGACAAGTTAAATGCCAATGTTATCAATCCAAGTAAAATCATTCAATCCTTATGCTTGATATAAACGTTAAGAACTTGCAGGAATAATCTAGATATGCATTGAAGAATAGAGATACAGAGATAAAAAATATAAAGTGATCGATGTGCAAGGTATACGATACACACGAGTAGAAAAGAAACGCACAATTTTCTCATAAAATCCTCTTTCCTTTTGGTTCTGAGATAAATGAGAAACAAAAAGGAAATTGGTAACCAAAGCTGTTTCAACTCCCACACAAAGAGAACCCCAAATCGAGTAACCTCGACAACAAAATTACCAATTAAGAATGCCCAGTTCTCACTTTCCAAAACACTCAGTGCTACCATAAGGAACACAAGGCAGAAATGTCGATTACCCTAATGGCCAAGGCAACCAAAAAAAAAAAAAAAAAAAAGAAAAATCCCAACAGGTATTCTCATTTTTCACTACTCCTAAAATTTTCTTACCTGCCAAACATAACCTAGAAACTTGGAGGAAAATAAGAAAAGAAAACGAACCCAACTTGCAAATCTCATTGTTTTGTTGCCTAAACAGTAAACAAAGAACGATTAAACAACCATCGGTTGAAAACTAAGATCCAAATTCTCGATTTTTCCCTAAAGTTTCTTTTGTTTGCTAAATAACTTTCTCACCATCCAAACACAACAAACACAAAAATGTAGAAATGTCGAAGAAAGTTGGGTGGATAGATTGGAACCCTAAAACACGAAATAAAGAAAAGATCGAACAGAAATCAC